TTCTTGTTTTCTTCTTTGCACCATTTCTTATTATTTTGACTTTTATAGGTAATAGTTTTAACTTTTATTCTTATTTTAATTTTATTTTTGATGTTTTAACTCAGTCTCATTTGTGGATTTTTTTTCTTGTTGGATTTTAATAACCTTAGTTTATATCATGCGTGCATCAACCCCTCATTTTTAGATCTTAATAAAACTTGAGTAATTAACTGTGATTAAGTACTAGTGCTTTTGTATAGCCCAAACATTCAGTTAGTTTATAAACTGAGTTTTAAGATTCTTTTACTATAAATTATGGTATATGATTATTTTTAATTATTACTTAAAAAATTGAACATAGCTTTCTGAAAATTCTAAAGCTTTATTACAGTAAAGATCCCATTACCTGTTTAAGCTCTTTCTACTGACTAGATTTTGTTTAATAGAATATGAATGTTCTACCTTTTAGACTGTTATTCTACGTCAAAACTTGAAGATACTTCTTTGTGGAATTCTTCCATAGCTGAAATTGGCACTCATTTTCTCTGAAAATACACAAGTGCTTGTGTGTACATACATAGTCAGAATGAGAGTACCGAAAGACAGAACACATAGTCACACTGTAATTTTAAGGACTTTCAATGAGGCATGTAAGAGTTTTTTCTTTTAAAAGAATGTATAAGCTTTGCCTGTTCTACTTGTGAGCTGTAAATAAATCCTAACAAATTCCTACTATCAATGATGAGAACAAATTATTTGGAAATGTGGTCATATGTTTGAAAATGCTGTTTTTTAAAAAGCGAGTTACTAATTCCATAGAAATGATGAAAATTAAGAAATAGTGAAGAGGCTTAAAAATAACCTTGATACCTTGAAATAATTTGCCTGTGTCAGTGACTTGTTTACAGTTTTGTGAAACAAAGTGTTTATGTTAAATCATTTCATCTGTGTAATTCTACACAGTTTTGGCATCTGTGATATAATAGGCAGATGGAACTGATGAATGCCTTCAGCAATATTGTGTTGTAGAGAACTCAAGTTAATGTGGATTTTGGATAATTTTGAATGTGACCTGAAAACATGGAATTTCTTTGGTGATAGAATAGAGGTACATTTGTTGATGTAAAAACAAAAGTATAAAGTAGCCTACTTTTGCCCACTTGAATGTTTGAAACATACCCAGAAAAACATAAATGAAAAACAATTTCTTGTCTAGGCTTTTGTCCTTTGAAATGTTGGGGCTGTGTATGTGAACATTATGATCCTGAATCTCTGATGTTGCCGACTCTGTAAAGCATTTTATTATGTAAGCCCAGGTGAAGTGGCTCTTTAGCTGTGCTTACTTCTTAAATAAGTGTATATAAACAGGCCTTAAAAATGATCCAGATTAAGTGAAAGGGTGTGGCTTTGTGCTTCTTAACCTCCAGAAGGTGTTTGAAAGCTGTGACTTCCTCCTGAGGAAAAACTTAAATGAACCTATGTTATAATTTGAATATGAAATGTCCCCACAGGTTCATGTGAAATATGCTTAGCCCCAGTTGGTAATATTGGGAGGTTGGGGGACTTTTTTAGGATGTAGTGCCTAACCAGAGGAATAGGTCACTGAAGGTTTATCGCAGAGCTGTCTTGTCCCTGGCCTCTGCCAGTTTTTTTCTTCCTGTTTGCTATGTGACCAGCTTCTGGTCCCTCTGTTATGATATTTTGCTTCACCACAAGCCCCACAACATGGGGCCTTGTGACCATGATCTGAATTCTCTGAAACTAGAAGATAAAAATCTGTCTGTCCGTCCATCCATCCATCCATCCATCCATCCAAACTATATATACTATAATCTTTCCTTAAATTGGTTCAAGTATTTTGTCATAGTCCATGGGTAGTTGGCTCCATGTTTCATGTTTCTGTGCCTGCTGTGGACAGAACATGATGGCACTTACAGCATGTGGCAGAAGCTGTTACATCATGGAGGGGGGAGAAAGAGGGGTGTGGCTAGAGACAAGATAACCCCCTATAGTACCCACTCTAGCACTCTAGCAAACTGCTTCCCATGGCTAGGCACTATCTACCAGAGATTCTACCACCTCCCATAATTACATCACCATTTGGAAGCTTACATGAACTTGTCAGTAACATTTCCTGTTCAAACTTAACCATTCTTGTCTTGGCCCTCTCAATACAAAATTGACTTATTCCATCTCTAAGAGCCCCAGAGTCTTAAACAGTTTCAACATTGTTCAAAAGTCCTAAGTTCATTACTCTTTTATGGGCTGCCCAGGGGGTTCCTAACTCTCCCACACATTGCCTGGCCTCCCAGGCCTTCCTCTGAAATCTTGGTGGAAACATTCACAACACTGTAACTTGCATTCTGCATGGTAAAACCGGTTTGATTGTAGATGACCCTAAGGTCTTCTACCAGCTTGAACATCATCCAGACCCCTTAAATCAGAGCTGTAGTGGGCTCTGAGCTCCTGGGCAGCTGAACCGGGAAGTACTTGTCTAGATGATTCTGTGCGAGCTGAGCACATGCTGTATCACTCTTCTTGTGGATAGTGCTTGAATAAACTTACATTTACCTCCTGGAGCCTGTCACAGGCGAAGACCTGACCAATTCTGAGTTGCACTGAGGGCTGTCTTCCCAGTATCTTGATACAGACCTTCACTCATTTAATGACATCTCTACGTTTTGTCATCATTTTAAAATTTACTTCAAATTTGCTTAAAATTTTACTTAAAATTAATTTCATGAAATTGTGACTACCGTTTTATAATTTAGCATATATCATATTAAATAGTTATCATTAGACCCCAATGCCTAGACCCAAGGTACTAAGTAAACTTGAGGTATGATGCCTGAACATTATGTTTCTATTCCCTGAAACAAAACTAAACTATTACTAAAATGGTTGTTTGATGAAAAATACTTAGGAGACATGCTTTGGTCACTTGTAATTTGTGTGTGTGTGTGTGTGTGTGTGTGTGTGTGTGTGTGTCTATTGCTACCAATAGGACATTCTTGTGGCATTACCCATGTGATGCATATACTAAATGACCAAGTGGTAACCACATATTATGAGGGAAAGAATAAAGTATTGACAATTTATTTGTTTTTGTGTAGAGTTGGCTTTACTTTTATATTAAACCTTAGACTTTAAAGGTACTCTAGGATAACTTTCCTTCATCCTAGAAAGAACAGAAGAGGGCTAGGAATTTCTTCAAATCACATATTTATGGCAGAGTATCCCATCTGACAGATTCCCCTCCTCTCAGACACCCATTATATTATTTTGTTCATTATCTAACAACAACCTCTAGTCTGAAAAATATATTTTTCACAGTGTTCTGCAACAGTTACTTATTTTTTAAAATATTTTTATCCATTGAGAATTCCAAGACAGCATATTAAAAAACATTAAAAAAATCTTTTAAATAGCCTGCAGATTTTAAATCAGAATTAGTGACTACAAATTTAGAACATTAAGTTAAATTCTGCTAGGCATAGAAATTAACTTTTTGAAGTGTGGAACAACACAGCACATGATTTCTTAAGTTTGTTTTTATCTCAAATAAGAATATTTCACTAAAACATTTTATAAAACAAAAGGGTATGTTCATTTTTCTGTGATTTTTTTTTTTCTTGCTGTTTGGCAACCCTTTCTTCTTTGTGGAGATACACTAAATGCTTTTTAGAATCAAATGATTAAAATTGCAACTTTTTAAATACATTGTATTTGTGGGCACAAAAATAATATTGACTGATTTTTTTTCTTAATTTCAAAGTAGAAAGTGGGTATTGACGTAAAATAATGTAGGTTAAGGTCAGTAAAGTGTTTGTTAAAAACAACAACAGTGAAGTAGGCTTGTTTGTGCTGTCCTATTCATTTTATTAACAGATCTTTCATTTGCCAAGCAGTTTTATGAATAAGTTTTTTCCACTATAGGAAGGGTATTGAAGGCAACATTTTGAGAATTAGTCTTTAAATTAAAACAATACATATTCGTTACTTAAATTGGAGGAATAAGTGAGCACTCAAAGTTGCAAATGAAGTAATGAGTCGAGTAAGACCCAGTGCAGGGCTAAAGTGCTAGAGAATCAGACTCTGCATTTTTATTAAGTTTTTTAAAAAAATATTTATTATTATTATTTTTTCATATTTTGTATATGAGTGTTTCCCTGCATGTATGAAAGTGCACCCATGTTGTGCAGTGCCCATGGAGCTCAGAAGAGGACGTCGGATCCCCTGGAACTGGAGTTACAGATGATTGGCAATTGCTGTGTGGGTTCTGGGAATCGAACCTGGATCCTCTGCAGGAGCAGCCAGTGCTCTTAAGCACAGAACCATCTCTCCAGCCCCTCTGTTAAGTTCTTAACATCAGTTATAAGAGTTTTAAAACAAATATGTTCTTAAAAATTATTGTATACAAACTATCAATTAAAATTCTCTTCATGAAAACTTGTTTTATCTTAGAAAGCTGCCTCAGGCATTTTCCTTGAATTTACTGATTTAGAACCAAGTGTTTGAATAAGCATATGAGAAGACTTGAGATAATTCATGTACAAAATATCCAACTTCCTGATACTTTTCCTTTTTTTCTAGTTTATAAAGTCAACTGTTTTAGATATCTTCTAGGATGAAATTTCACTTCTCAATACTCTTACTTGGTTTCCAACATGAGCATTCATTTTGTAATGTAAAAGCTTTACTGTGGTATAAAACATTATGACATTTTAATTAGGAAAATAGATCAAGGGAATTCCATATGATGGAATAAATTTCCCAGAGGCCTATGTTTCACCTAATTGGAATGAGAAAATACATTAGGATTTATATGAGATATGATTTGTTTTGAAAGTTGAAGAGTCGGGAAAGAAGTGGGTGAAACTGAGGCTTATGGAGTGTGCTTGGGACTCGGTGGTGGAGGTGGGGTGACAATAACCCTTAACCCTAAAGGAAATTTTGACCCAGGGCTTTAGGTTACATGGTTCTTTCCCCCTCCCCTTTGTTTGTTTGTTTGTTTGTTTCAGGCAAAGGGGAAGATAGTGATGTGCTCAGTATAAATGCAGATGCTTATGACAGCGACATAGAAGGCCCATGCAATGAAGACGCTGCTGCTGCTGGTCCTGAGGCCCCAGAAAATACAGTCCAGAGTGAAGCTGGTCAGATAGATGACCTGGAGAAAGATATTGAAAAAAGTGTGAATGAGATTCTGGGACTGGCAGAGTGTAGCCCAAAGGAACCCAAAGCCGCCACCCTGACTGTTCCTCCACCAGAAGATGTTCAGCCTTCTGCACAGCAGTTGGAGCTCCTAGAACTTGAAATGAGGGCAAGAGCGATCAAGGCTCTGATGAAGGCTGGCGATATAAAAAAGCCCGTCTAGTTATCCAACTTGAATTTTATGTGTTTGAATGAAGCCATGTCATGTAATTTTGTATCTGAAATTTATTTGGGGTCCTTATGTGGTGTTCCTCATGTATCCCTTATTAGGTGAACTCATCTTAGACTGAAATTATATTTTTTTTACTTTTATATTATAGATTGTAGGTGTGTGTTTAAATTCATGACAGATACTGTTGGTTATCTGAATACTTTTAGATGAGTATTTAGCTATATCTGTAAATTGATGTCTTACAAGTCAGTACAATGACTCATATAGTTTTTTTTCCTTTGTTTTTCAATGTTTTGTCAACAAACTCAAAAGCTTAAAGCTTGACCAAGCATGTTTCTCTTAAGGCTACCTATATTTTGCAATAGTATATTATGTTATTGCTCCTAGATTTAACAATTTATGAAGCTTAGTTTTGTGTATGTATACTTTAAATATATATATTGTTTGGAGGATGCCTTTTGTGGATGTGAGTTTGCTAGCTATAGCTAATTAGCAGTTTTTGTTGTAATGCTTAGGATCTGAAATGGCTTAAAAACATTTTTTAGTGAAGGAAAAAGCTCAATTTAAGGCTATTTTTAACAGTGTAAAATTAATTTGTCTATGTTTAATTCCAGCACCAAGGCATTCTGACAGGTATTTGGTCTTTTGGGGGTATTTTGTTCACATTTTTTGCTTCAATAAAAAAGAAATAAATTTTCATTTACATTCCAATCTAGCAGGAAAAGAATAATGTGTTATCAGACAGGGTTTCATCTGATACTGTTGTTGGAGGGTCTGATGTGCTGTAAGTCCAAAAATCAAAATATGAAAAGGCTATTATTCTGGATATGAAGACTTTTGATACTTTTCCAAAAGCAAAATTGACTCTAAGAATCTTTGATAAGTTGATGTTATAATTAAGCTAATTTTATATAGTTTTTATAAACAAATTAGTACCCTGCCACAATTACAAATGCTCTTCCCCTCATTATTTATGGCACTTGTTTGATACCAAAATAAATTTCAGTAGGATCCCTTAATTTAAAATAAACGACTTCTTTTTTAAAATAGAAATTTGGAGCGGTTTTTATATTTGATAATAAATGTAGAATGTTTTATTTACAAGCTATGTGCTCTAATGAGAGGTTTTAGGTGTGCATAGGACACATTTATGAATTACTGGTTTGTGAATCTGTTTATTGTTCCTGAGCATGTCTTTAAATAATCCTGTCATTCTTTTTTCCTCCCAAACCATTCTAATGAAGCACAGAAGCCCTTGTCACCTGAAATGCTTCTCTTAGGCTAGGAACATTGGTATGGTTTGAACAGTGAGTTCTCATTGTTAGTGTAAAAACATTGATTATAGTAAAATATTTTTTCTACTCTTAACTTTAAAAAAATGTTTAAGTAATGAAGTAGTAAAGAATAAATATTACTGCTTACTAATTATAAAATACTATAGACAGCATTTGTATGATTAAATATACAAGAGTAGAGAAGGGTCTGAATTTCAGTTACTTCTCATGAAGCATTGTGTGTCTGTTCTATTTAGAGTGCAAAATAGTTTAAAGGTATTTGGTGGAATAGATTTGTGTGTGATAGAATGAGCTGAACAAACTGAAGGTGATTTAGACTCCTGCCTTTAAAGAAACATTCTTCTCACAGTGAGCTGCTGAGAGCTTTCTGAAAATAATTGGCTTTAAAGGAAAGAAATGTTTGTTTTAGAAATATAATGGGAAAATACCACATATTGATCTGCCATTTAAGTCATCATCAGCTCAGGGGTGCCTATTGAATATCTCTAAGGATATTTTAGCATAGAATAGATTGATTAATAAAGATATGGACACTTCTTCCCTATATGCTCAATTCTTTTGTTAATATGAGGAAAATATTTAGGCAGCATTTAAATAGTAATTAAATTAAAAATAAAAAAGGCAGCCAAGTTTTCCATTTAATGTCAAATAGTCCTAATATTTGATTAGAAACTTGGTCCAAATCTTCTTTTCTCTCTGTTTTTGAGATGTGGCCTCACTTTGTAGCCCAGGCTGGCCAGTGCTGGCATTATAGTCATGTGCCACCACATCTGGGCTTGACCCAGATTTTGGATGCTGTGTGGCAGCTGACTGCGGGTCCTCTGCATTGGTGAGCAGTTTGAAGCAGGAAGCCTTGGCTCACTTTTAGGTATTCCTCTATGTTTAGGTGGGTTTCTAAAAACCTCCTACCGTGTTACCGATAAGACATTCAGCTATGGGGCTCAGTGATTAAGAACACTTGCTATTCTTCCAGAGGTTTGATTCCTGGCACCCACATGAGGGCTAACAACTGTCTGTGACTCCAGTTCCAGGGTATTTGACACCCTCTTCTGGCTTCTGTGGACATTGCCCACACATGATACACTTATATGCATGCAGGCAAAACACTCATACACATAAAATAAAAATATTAAAATTCCAGTTATGAAAAATCACTACAAACCTTCAAATCTTTTTGTTGAATGTTACAATTTCTTAAGATTATAAGGCTGCTTATCCTTTTATTGTAAAAGTATTCTTGCCAAAACCTGTTTGAGTAAAACATTTGATCCTAGGCCATGATCTGAGTAAGGGCATTTCGAATCATTTGAGCAGTAATGCAAATTACAGTAAAATGTGCATTGTTTTCACTGCTGTTTTCAAGATAGACAACACATGAGTGAACCTACAATTAGGGCAGCTTAAAAGTGTTTTAAATTTCTCAGTTCTATTTCTTCATAAAGAACAGGATAAGAAAATTCAGTTGTTCTTTCTCTGTTTAATTCTTAACAAATTGAAAGATCAGTGTTTTAGCTTTACAGTTAATCTTTAGTTTTATATTTTCATTTTATATTCAAGTAGACTTTTGAGACAAAATTTTTAAATTAAAATTAATATGCTGGGTGTTGTGGCACTGCGTGCTCCTTTAATCCCAGCCCTCGAGAGGCAGGGCAGGCAGAGAGGCCAGCCTGCTCCACATAATGACTTCTGGGTGGGCTGGGACTAGGGTGACCTGCCAAAAAAAAAAAAAAGTAAGTAAGTTGCATTTATTATTTTGTGTGTGGGGCACACATGTACAGTGGGCATGTGCAATCAGAGGACAACTTGTAGGCACCACTTCACCCCTTCCAGCATGTAGGTCTTACACATCAAATTTACATATCAGGCTTGGCCCACATGTGCCTTTACCCACTGAGCCATGTTGCCTGTCTGAGACAAGGTTTTGCTATGTAGCCCACTCTGTCTTTCAACTTTCCATGTGTGCAGGCTGACCCAAAACTTGTGGTTGCCTGCTCTGTTAGCCTCCTGAGTATTGGCATCACAGGTGGGGGTGCCACACCCGGCTGAACTCCCTTCTTAAAATATCTTTTTCGAAAAAGTTTTGAGAGAGAGAGAGAGAGAGAGAGAGAGAGAGAGAGAGAGAGAGAGAGAGAAAGAAAGAAACAGGAACAGGAGTGTGGGTCCTACTGAGGATCCTTTGGAGCTAGGTGGTTGTTAGCTGCCGGCCATGGGTGGTGAGAATCACACATGTCCTCTGCAGGAGCACTGCAAGCCAACTCTTCAGTCCCTGAACTCCCTTTTTAAAACAAAGAAGTGATAACGAGTGTACCAATTAGCACTCAGATATATTTTTTTAATATTCAGTAATTAAGATGCGTTATTGGGGGAACTGGAGAGATGACTCAGCAATTAATAGCACTGACTAGTCTTGCAGAGGACCTGGGTTTGGTTCCCAGCACCCACATGGTGGCTAAAAACTGTCCATAACCCCAGTTTCAGGGGATCCAGTGCCCGCTTCTGACCTCCATGGGCACTGCAGAACGTGGGTGCACCTACCTGCATGCAGGTAATACACTCATATACATAAAATAAAAATAAAATGTGTTTTAAGAGATGCATATTGGCTTGGGAGGTAACTCAGTGGATAAAGTATCTGCCATCCAAGTGTAAAGAATGGATTTTGGAGCCAGGCATGGTGGTGCACGCCTTTAATCCCAGCACTCGGGAGGCAGAGGCAGAGGCAGGTGGATCTCTGAGTTCGAGGCCAGCCTGGTCTACATAGTGAGTTCCAGGACAGCTGGAGCTACAGGGAGACTCTGTCTCAAAAAGACCAAAAAAAAAAAAAAGGATTTTGGATCCCCTGAATCCAGCCAGGTGGGCAGGTGGGCATGGCATCCTACCTGTAACTCCAGCACCTGGAAGTCAGGGACAGTGAACCCTTAGAGTAAGCTTCTACTCAGAATAGTCTTATTGACAAGCTCTGGATTCAATAGAGAGATCCTGCTTCAATAAAGTGGAGAGCAGTGGAGGAAGACTCCCAATATCAACCTCCCACCTTCATATTCACAACAGGTACACATGCATGCACCCACAAATGTGAATTTGCATATACGAATGCACACTGCATAAATTAAAAAAAAGATGCATTGTAATGTAATGAGTGTGAGGGTTAAAGATCAAAGGATTCTGATTCTACTGATCAGCTGTGTGACCTTCCCCAAATAGCCATAAATGAGGGAAAATTGTTAGCCAATATATAGTTTCTTGGAGCTATAATAGTCTGTAATTCTAATATATAACACCATAACATTTATGAAACAACTCTTAAGTTCAAGTTTAACACCTCCATTCCCTTCCTCCTGCAATCCAGTGTGAAGCAGTGTATTTATTCTTTGTTCCTTGCTATTTCTTGGTATGAGCAACAGCCTAGTTGTGATTTTTTCCCCCCTTCAGTCTTCATTGTCAGACTCTCTTGATAAGTATACTACTGAGAATTACTCACTTTGGACCGTAAACTTAGGTTCTCTTAAAATACTGTTTTATTCCAAGCCGGGCATGGTGGCGCACGCCTGTAGTCCCAGCACTTGGGAGGCAGAGGCAGGCGGATCTCTGTGAGTTCAAGGCCAGCCTGGTCTACATAGTGAGTTCCAGGACAGCTGGGGCTACAGGGAGACCTTGCTTCAAAAAGACAAACAAAAAAGTATTTTATTCCAAAATAATTTGTAAATAACTTTAAGTCAGTTTGTTTTTTCTCTTTCAAAGCTTATAATGGAAAATATTTTCATTCTTTGTCCTTTTTATCAGGAGGTTTTTTTTTTGTTTTTGAGACGTGGTCTCCCTGTAACCCCAGGTAGTCTGGAACTCACTATGTAGAGCAAGCTGGCCTTGAACTCACAGAGATCTGCCTGCCTCTGCCTCCCGAGTGCTGGGATTAAAGGCGTGTGCCACCATTATACCCAGTTGTTACTATTCAGAGATAACCACGTTCAGATCTTTAGTTGTCTTGTAGTATTTCTCTCTGTATTGCAAGGTAGCATGATTATTATGCTATTCTGTGATATTTCTGCTCTAGATTTTATTTGTTGGTCTATTTTGGATTATGAAGCTTGAATTAAGTTTGTATATCTTTCCCCTAAACACACATCTTCTGTCATCCTCCAAATACAGTATATATCACATTTTCTCCTTAATTTAGAATTTGATGTTTATATTAGTTTGACCACATAATTACTTTTTACAACTGGACCATATGGTGTCTATATAATATTTCCTTCTTTGGTCCAGTTTTTGAAATTAATGATGCAATTGCCTTGTTACTTCATTTGCTCAGTGTTCTGTGTAGCAGACACTGACTTATCCCCTCCTCTTAGATTGAGACACACTGTGTCATGTCAGTTTTTTTCCTTTATATATTCTCAGTGGACCACTGTGTTCTATGCTGATCTGGATTTGTTTTTCACCTCTCATATCAAATCCCCATTTTGTGAGTAATCTGTTCCCTTTTGGTTTATTCCTTCATTTTGGCGGTACACCTAGTCTGCTAGCTTCCTTTGAAAGACTGCAGGAACATTAAATTGTTTTGATTCATTGATTTGACTAGCACGGCTCAGTTCTATGCACACACCTTACTGAAACTTTATATGAGCAAAGACGTCTAGTTTGAAATTGTCGGAAGCTCTTTCCCTATTGGCTTCCTTTGAAGCTGTGGAAAGTTCATTTGTCATCCTGATTTCGGATTCTTAACATCTGTTCTTTTTCTTACTTTTTGGAAGCTGTCAG